AGAGCCTGATGATGACACGAGGCCCTTGGATCTTGTTTAAAGAGAAAATTAAATTCTTAGTCCTCAGACGAGGAAGAAAACCACCCCTCAGTGTCTGTAAGAGCAGAAAAATGAAATTGCATAATCAACTGCATAAGAGCTTTCAAAATTCTAGGCAATGTTGATTTTCTAGGGATAAGCAGAAGACATTGGGACAGCACAAACCATTCAGCCCCTGTGCTGGAACCCTGCCATGTAAATGAGAGCTCTGCCATTTTCCCAGACCACTCCAAATGTCCCAAGCATGTATTAAGGAGATTCTTCTCCAGTCTGAGCATGGAAAAGATGTTCACTGGCTGTGAGACCTGGCAGATGCACCAGGCAGTCCACTGGGTCACTACTGCTTCACATACTTGTGCTAACACTTGCACACACCAGAACCTAAAGCTGAAACTCCATCTGTTGATCACTGGGTTGATCTGTGCCTAGAAGATTCCTCCAGCCCACAGGACCTCTCTGCATGAAGCACAGCTGCATGAGCTCAGTGTTTACTGATGGATTTTTGCCTCACCATAAGAGAACACGGTGATGTCCAAGAAAGCCTATTTTGTACTGGTACTTGACACACTGAAGAGCAGAGAATAAAAATACTTGGTAATTATCTGACCTTAAAGGAGAAACATTCTCTTGCTGTCATGCATCAATCACACTGCATTTCCCTGCTGCTAAAAACTGACCTTTAATTGCAAAGTGGATATTTTTATCATATTCCAAACTTACAAAGTCTAATTTAATGCACATGATTCAATGTAAGTGGTATCCACAGCACTGGGTGGAAGAAACTCATGAAGGATTATTAGGGAGGCAGAACCTCACAGTGTTCAGGACTCAAATTCAGAAGTTCACTGACATACTTTAGATCTTGTAGGTTTGTGACATTGATAGCTAGGAAACTTGTCATAAAAACCTGAATAAAAACAATTTCTTCATGTTTCACTTGGCAAAAAAAAGAAAATGTTTGCATGAAGTTTTATTACACAAAGGTATTTCCAATTGCATCTCTCCAGAGTTGTCAGTCTCAATTAGTTACCTTGTGTAATAAATCTGGTACAGCATCATCTCTTTTTATTCACACTATATTCATCTGATTTGTGTGATTTCAGCACGCACAAGGGATCACCAGTGAAGCTATGCCCATTTGCTCCAGCTACTGGATTTATTCCAGTAAACCACTGGATAATGGTGGATCTTCAAGTCACCTACAACTGCAAACAACTTGAATGGATCTACTTTAAACTGGCATTTCAAAGCAAGTTTTATTAGGTTCTTCATGTAGGCACAGATAAGATCAGCCATCCTTCTTAGCAAGATGGAAAAGTCAAGCCCCCTGTGCTCTCAAAAGCACAAAAATAAGAATTAAATTGGGGTAAAAAATGAGTAAAATTTACTCAGCAGAGAGATTGCACTAGTCTGACGTTAGATGAGGATGACTTGGCAACCATGAGGCAAATGCTCTCCTCACCAGAAGATCGGATTCCAATATCCCTGCTCTGCTCATCATTTTTAGCCTTGTGACTACACGGGCAAGACTGGACACCTGTGCTGTGCAGGATCAGAGCTTCAGGGATCAGCTTTCAGGTCTGAGAGCAGCACTTTTCAGAGATCACCATGGCATTGGTTGAGGGGGGAAAACAGAGAATGAATGCGTGTGATGTTTCAGGCTACACAAAACAACAGAGAGAATCCTGAGTGACCTTTCAAGGGGAAAGACTCAAAAAAAAGTGATGTGTGTTGGTGTGAGCAGATAAGAACAGGCAAAATTTGCTCTCAACAATATCAGAGTTCAGTAATCTTATCTCCTACCTGTTACACTCTCAAAGAATCTCCAAACAAAAAACCCCAAACCATTACAACATATGTGTAAATAAACACATCTTTCCTTTTCTATTTCAATAGAAAAAGACAGAAACACAGTTTCTGTCCTGATCAATGACTCAATAACCTGAATAAGTACATTTGGTTTGACACATTGAATTCTCTCTGAGGAACGTGTTGCTAAAAGTCTTCATATTCAGCTTGTACTTCGATCTGAAATAAGCTTAACTTTTAATTTCTCTGATATTTATAGTGCGAGACCAAAGTGACATTAAGAAGTGTGATGTATTTGCTGTTTTTAAAACTATGGTGGTCTACAGGCAGGCCACTTTGTAACATCAGCTGAAAAAACCAGGCAAGTGCTATCAACCACAGTAAGAAATCATGTGTACAGAATGATATTATAAATATGGAGGATGGTGGATTTTGAAGGGTAAATTATTTCAACAAAACCCATTCTATTTTTTTCTGAAAAAAAACCTCCAAAAATACTGTGATTGCAAAGTAAGATGGAGCAAGTGTAGTTGTCACAATCAATTATTGCCTTTCAAGTGCAGGGAAATGACAAATGAGCCATTAAGCACTGCTATTCTTTATTTAGAACTGAAAAAGATAGAAATGAGTCTGCAAAGAAAAAGATCTTAAGCTTTTCTGCATGTTGATTTATTTCAAGTGAAAGTTATGTGAATATATGGAAGAAATGTCTTCTGCAAGGTGTTCATCTTGGTAACCCTGCTGCGTGAATCTTGTTAGGACCAGTTTATGTTAATTAGTCTGTGGAAACTAGAAAGAGGATTTCTGCAGCTGAGATTCTTTTTTTAGCCAGGTGTAGAGGTGATCTTCAGCAAAAAGCATCTTTTTAATACTCGGTGATGTTAAATACCCTGAGGATGAGGGAATTTGCTGTCAGCAGAAAATGGACAAGACACAAACAAGCCTTTATGTGTCATCCTAGTGTGTGTGAATACAAATAAAATCAAAACATTTCCACACGGCAACTATCATGGGTAAAAATGGTCGTGATGGGCAGGTTGTAGGTGCAGGCAGGACTCCGGAGCGCCTCCATTCTGCTTTTAACACAGAAATAAAAGGTAGCGGCAGCTACACCAAAGGTAGAGGGTGGTCCCTGACCACAACTTTTATCAGCAAATGATGTTCTCCTTTGCCAGCGATTAAGCAGGAATGACTTGTTAACACTGGGGGCTGTGTGAGCACATATATTCGCTCATGAAGCAGCACCGGGAGGGACCGGGAACACCGGGAACACCTGAACACCGGCAGAGACAGTGACACCGGGACATCAGCGAACACCTGAACACCGGCAGGAACCGGGACACCAGGAACACCCGAACACCGGGAACGCCCGCAGCCCCTCAGCCCACAGCTAGGGGCGGGCGTGGCGCTGAGGGACGGCGCGATCCCATTGGCTGGCGGAGGGAGGCGGGAGAGAAGGAGCCTTGTGATTGGCTGCTGCCTGCGGCGGGGCGGGGCGATGTCTCGCGAGAGCCGCGCGGCGGTCGCGGTCTCGCGCGGCCCGGCCCGTCCCGCCCCCGGGTCCCTGGGCCGGCGGCGGCGCCGCTCCCGCTGCGGCGGCCCCGGTGAGTGGCAATGACCCGGCCGGGCCGAGGAGGGGACGGGGCCAGGGTCAGGGCGATCGGATCCTGACGGTGGGAGGTTGTCTTCGGTGCTCTGCCCCTGCTGTCTGCTTGCCTCTCCGTGAGGGGGTGCGCGCTGTGGCCGGGCCCGATCCCCTTTGTCTCCCCGTTTCTCCATCTCTTCCCCGTGCCCCCCTTTCCCGGTGCCACTCTGTCCCCCTTCCTTCCCCCTTTCCCATCTTTCTTTCCCCCCATTCACCCCCTTTCCCCCATGCCCCCTTCCCTTTCCTCCTCGCCTTTCCCTGAAGGACCCGGCCCCTCACAGGGCTATGATCACTGAGTGCTATCAGCCCTCATCCTTCTTTTTTACTCCCCTTAAAGACCATGGTTGTAGCTGTTCCTCTTTCGTAAGGCTGCTCCTCATCCTTGGAAAAAAGATAATTGAGAGTGGAAAAGTTTGGCTGGTGGTGGAAGGGAGTAGGAGGAGATTCCTTTGAAGAGCCAGAGTAGATTGTGACTGGACTTTGCATCTGTGGCATTGCATGTCTGTGTATCCGTGTGTGCCATGGCTAAATGTGCAGGTGTTATATGGAGTCACAACTCTGAAGAGAAGCCCACGAGTGCGGGACATCTGAAAACCATCTCTGGATAAATTGGAAAGCTGTTGGATATTTATGCATATGGTTCATAATTTCTCAGCTTCTGATTAAAAAAAAATCAGAGAAAATTGAGCTTTCCTTTACCTTGTCTTATGTTGTAGAGGTTAATAATAAATACTCATATTATGCTCATTAAATATTCAATGCTTTTCCAGGAATTATTTTAATGCTGATCACAGAACAAGAGTTGAGAATTGTAATGGCTTCATTTCCTCGATCCTCTGGATGAAGAGAGCTTTAATGTTAGGAGTGCCAAGGGCCAGTGTGTGTGCCCAGTTCCCTAAAGCAGCTAATGAAGGCAAAGGTTAAAAACCTCTTAAAAACCCCACAAACGTGTATTGCTGCAGAAGGACACAGATCACTGTTAAGAGCTGTTACCTGCAAATCAGGGGAACTACTCAAACTAATGAAGTAGTTTGATTTACATGTATGGTTGGGTTGTCACTCTTCAGCTGGAGTTTTGTGTACCGTGCCCATGATGATGGGATTTATGATTCAGGACCTTCACTTCCATTATCTGTTATGATTAGAAACCTCTCCTTCAGTGAAGGATTGAACTAAAATGGAAAATGTTATTGGTAGAAAGCAGCTCTGAGTCCTTGCCTTTCATTAATGGGAGTTAATTTATATACACAAGTCCGTAGCAAAATGGTAACTTGAAATTAGTGAGTAGTCTTGGTTAATAGACCAATTAAATAACTTTTTTTATTATATAGTTGAAACAATGCAGCATTGCTGTTGTTGTCTAAATCTAGACAGCATAATAACAACTTGAATTTTGGTTGTATGTGAAAAACAGGTTTCAGATACGAGTTAATTTTTAATTTGTCTTCCTGCTTTTGTTTTCTTGTTTTGCAATTGTCAGTTAAAGCTTGACACTGTGTTCTTTCTGGTTTTATTTTTAGTAGAGCAGGCTGAAAATCTGCTGTCTTATCTAACCCTTTATAAATTTTCTCACTGCCAGTTTCAGACTTCTCATATATTGGTGTATTATTTTTAAAAAGCTTTACTGGCTATCTCTCCCAGTTATCTCTTCCAACTGGTAAATTATTCCACTAGTTTTATATGGGAAAGCACTTCAAACTTTCATTGCCTTTTGTCCTACTGCCTTAAAAGATAATGGTGTTTTTTAGTCATCTGAGACTAACACCTTCTATTAATTGTGTATTTTTCTTATCTGTGTGGTTTGTTTTTTAGCACATGTGACAGGATGGATGTGGGACATCAGTAACGGTTAATATAAGTTGCTTTTTTTCTTCTTCTACTTGTGGTGGCAACTTTGACAAAATAATATGAAAGGTCCATCAAATATGGATGAAACTAAAAGCATTAAATAGACCCAAAGACTTTGTTATTTCAGGTCCTGTAATGCACTAAGGCTTAATCCAGAAAACAGTCAGACTTGTTTCTAACATAGCTTATGGTGTGGATGTTCTGGGGACTTTGTATATTAACTGGAACAAGTGTGTTTAGATAAATTATCCGATCATCTGTAATCAGGAGCTCTTCCTGCAAAAGAAGACATGGCTACACCTTGGTAATATTGGGTTTTTTTCCTCTTTTTGTCTCCTAGAAATGGGTCTGCTCTCAGAAGATGCGATGCAGTAGATGTGGTGCTTAGTCATGGCATCAGAGCTGTGCAAAACAATCTCTGAGGCAAAGCTGGAAAGGCACAAGAACTTGTTCTTAAATTACCGAAATCTCCATCACTTCCCTCTGGAGTTACTGAAAGATGAGGGGCTGCAGTACTTGGAGAGACTTTACATGAAAAGAAATTCCCTGACCACATTGGTACGACAGTCTCTTTATTGCAATGTTTACTGTCTGTGTGTTTAGGAATTCTGATTTTTGAAACAGAAAAAAAAAGTTGGTATTCTAGATGATCTGACCCTGAATGATGTCATCAGCTGTAAGATAAGAGTATTTGAACTTGCATAGCTCATGTAGAGAATAATAAATGGAAGTTCATGACATTTTATGGTTGGCCTTTTCAAGCTCTCAAGACCTTCTGGGGTTTTTCTTGTCAGACTTGTTGCTCTGTTGGGTTTTTTTTAACCTATACATTTTACCCTCAGAAGTGGTCAATTTCTCCTGTTAGGTGATGCTATGCAGTCTATTCTGCATTTCTTCATTAGGCTGAATGACTTTTCCTTTGGTGTGTGCCTAATTTCAAAGACAATATCAATCCCAGGGTCTAATTCCAAACCTGAGGTTAAGGTGTCTGTAAAAACTTAAATCTGTGGGCTGCTGTTGGTAGTTGAACACATTTATATGTCAGCTAATGTCACACTTAATGTGGGATTTTCTTCTGGGATTTCTTCTTGTTTTGTTTTTCCCTGAACTGAAGAAATTCTAGCCCTGAGTGGATGCTGTGACCTCAAAATTCAGTGTAGGACAGTTAAATAATTGTGAGAGATGTTCTGATCTGGTAAGACTCTACAGGATAGAGTCAGAACTTGCCACTGTCAACAGGCTTATGTCTCCAAATTTTCATTTTTGGTTGCTTGATTGGTTTGGATTTGGTGATTGGTTTTCATGGTACGAGAGGTACAATAGTAGCAACAATAGAGGAGCTGTAGAGCACGACTTCTTAAAATTCACCAAAATTGTACAGTTTTCAGGGTTTCCTAGAACAAGTCCAGTACTCTACTTTAAGGGCCAAAAACTGAAAGGATTCTGAAGATTTTATGCCTTTTCTTCATCTTGAATTAGTCACTTCAGTTGATATGTACTGTAGAGATTTTTTTTAGCGCTCTGGTTTTGGGCAGTAATTTAAATAATGTGTAATAATGTAACAGGAGGATAGGATTCATGGTTACAAATCAAAACTGCTGTAAAATTAGCCAAAGACTGTAAACAGCTCTGCCTTGACACATTGTGAAATTCAGTGATGATTTAGTGCAGTAAGGTTCACATGAAACAGTCGGGAGGGTTTTGTATGTAAGTGATAAGACCTGGATAAAGAAACTGAAACAAAAGTTAAAATGTAGGTCATACTTAGGCAAAATTGCTTTCAAACAGCGTGAAGCAGAGCATGATTAGATTCACAGCAATCAGGATAACTTGCTCATAATGTGCCTTGTTGGGATCTCATTCAAGTGCTCAGCACTATTGTTGGAACAAGGCAAACAAATTTGGGTGTCATTCACTGAGCATCTGTTCCACAGAAGAGATGTTGGAAGTTGTAGTGGACCAAAATAGATCAAGTCAGCAGCATGTTACAAAAAAAGGCAGATGTCTTTTTGGAACGTGGAAAGTTTCACAATCTCCATTAAAAGCAGAAGGAAGTAATTATTGGATACAGTTAAAGCACAAGCTGGAGCAGAGAATTTCATACTCATGAACGGCCTGGGTGAATTGGAGAGAACCTAGAGAGCAGCAGCAAGGGACCTTTAGAGAGAAAAAAGGTTGAAAGGTTGATGGAGAGGAAAAAACCAGGAGGAACTGGGAGAAATAAATCATAGATATTTTTACAAAGCAGAATTTCATGAGGTTTTTCGATGTCCACTACTGGTAGGACAAGTAGTGCTCTCAAATTTAGCTAAAGTCCTGGTAAGTCAGGTACACTGGGGCAGTGGAGGGAGTGGAAATCTCATCTGAGAATAGTTAAAAACAAATTATTGAAGGAAGATTTGTCGTTCTTATATTTTATCTAATGCAAGGTGATGAGCAATAGCTCATCAATGAGCACTTTAAATTGCATCAACAGTATTGAAAACCATCAAAATGGAACCTGCACCATATTTCTCTAAAATTGAGTGGTACTTTTGTCCCACTGGTTCATTCCTTCAGAATTCTGAAAAAAAAATTACTAAATCAGCTTTTGTTCTTTACTCTTCTCAAATGACTCCTGTCCTTGACAGATGACTCCTATGAAATGTCTGGGATAGTTATGATGACAGAATTTACCTTGGCTAAGAATAATTTCCTTTTTGTCTTCATTGCCAAGATGGAAGTGATGGAGTGCTGTGACATAATGAATGGATCAAGGAGCCATACAGCACACCTGTATCCCAGCATCAAATCTTCCCACTTCTCAGTTAATCTTTGATAATGTGAGCCTTCCAGTACCCAATTTCCGCATTTATTAAAAGGAAATAGGTGTTTGCCTTGTTAGCTCTGTCGGAAGCAAGATCAAGAATAATTGTTCTTAATTTACTCGCTCAGAATACGTGATGACAGAGCAGCAGGTGAAACAGTGACAACAATTTGTGGTAAAGGTTAACATCATTATCGTAATAACAGCTGAAGGATGGCAATGAAATTGCTTTTCCCCACACTTTTTTGGGTGAAGGCTGGGATTTTTTTGTGCTTGAGCAGATTTTCCCGGTTGGAGCTGGGCTGTTCGGGAATTGTGAGCGGTGACTGCGCCGTGGCGGAGCGGCCGCCAGGGGGCAGCCCCGGATCAGCGACAGCGCGTGCCGCGTGTGACGTCACCGCAGCGGGGTCCTCACCCCCCCCCCCCCCGCAGTTCTTGACCTGACCCATCCATTGCTCCATCCATTGCTGCTCCCGAGCTGAGCAACCTGGGCTTTGGACTCGGGTCTAGCGTGGGGCGTGTGTGCTGCATGAGAATAGTTCCTTTGTCAGGTCAGCATATTCCTCCATCGCCGAGTTATGGACACCAAGTTATATATTTTAGATAATATAGCTATTTAAGATGTCACACATCATGTTTATTCACATGAAAATTTCCAGTTTTAACAGGAATTTAATTATGTGATCAAGCTGATTTTAAAATGCAGTCATTTCTGCATATATCAGTATTGTAACCCTTTTTTCAGTAAAATCTATGTTAAAGCAGGTTTCTTAAGCAATAACTGTCTTAACTTTGAATAATTTTGAGTACAGTTTCCAACACGCCATCTGAAACTTGTGAAGCCAATTTTGTGATATGTGTTCATGGTTATAAATGCCACCAAGGAAGAGAATTACAGCTAGGGATCAGTTGGCAGTTAGGAAATGATATGCATGTTAATATGTAAATATGAAAATCTAGTTTGATGGATTCAGCAGTTCTGGCTTGGTGGTAATTGATTAAGCTACACTAAGATTGTAGGTCATTTCCCAGTTTAGCAGCATTATAAAATACATTCTGGTTAGACATCTTGTGTAGTTCTTTAAGTTTTGTTCTGCTTAAAGTCTGTAAAGAAAGGCTGCAACTTCTTAGCAATCTCTTCCCTTCAACTATCTCATTTATTTGAATATATTTTCAAAAGGAGATGAGGTAATCCATCTTTTCAGTCTCAGAACTCTGACTCCCATTTTGCTGAGGACATGATAATGTCACTTCTAGGCTGTAGTTCTGTTCAGTAGTGAATTGCTCACCCAGGACACATCTGAGATTGCCCTAATGGATACTTGGGGGTATGGAACCAGGGTATTCTACAGACATTCCTTGTTGCCATTTTTCCTGTTGACATGTTGTAGTATGGTGATTAAAATGATTTGGGTACACAGTGTTTGTGTGTCTGGTTTTTGTTTCGAAACCTAAAAAAAATCTCTAATTCTCTTTCAGCCAGAAAACCTTGCACAGAAGCTTCCAAACCTCGTGGAATTGTGAGTTTGTGTAGGAGTTCTAATATATTTTTATTATGCTTATCTGTCTCATCTTAAAATAATCTAGAATGTATTACTTGCACATAATTTATTTCTTAAGTGTGGAGGGCTTTCTTGGAGGGTAAGAAAGGATAATTTTTTTTGTTGTTGTGTTTTCTTAATTTGTTTGTTGTTGGGCTTTATTTCTGAAGGAAGAATATTCAGTCCGATTTAAATTTTTTTAAAATTTCTTGTTTATTGTATGAGAAGAACCTTTATATCAGTCTCTGTACTGCTAAGGGAGAAAAACTTACTCCATAAATTCTGTGTAGACTTGTCACACACGTCTGGAGCCTCCCAGTGCAGTGGTCAGAGGGTTGTGACAGAGGCAGAGTAACAGGTTACAGCCTCCAGCCCATCCCTAGTGCTCATTCCCATCCCAGCTCCCAGGGGTTTTATGATCTCAGTCTTGCTGATTGCAGTAATCAGTTTTTGGAACCAAGTCACAAATTGTCAAATAGGAGCAGGGATGAGCATGTAGGGATAGAAACTATGGAATGATGATTGCTGTAGGCAGAGCAGTTTATCCAGTCTTGTCCAAAAAACAGATGTCCCATGAACTGGATTATTTTGACAATTAATTTAATTAAGCCCCTGAGACGATGTTTTCTTCCTTCCCATTTTCTTACAGAGTTGTGCTTCCCTTCTGTGGGAGGATTGGCAGTGGGAGTTGAAAGGGATATCCTCTTCTCCCCTTTTAAGCCCTTTGTCTCAGTTTCAGACGAGTAACTGATGGAGCTTTGATTGTGTTTATTTAATGGCCAGCCCCACACGGGAGGTGTTTATCTGAGGAGTCAGTGCCCTCAGCTGTCTGATCTTGTCACCCTCCTGTGGCCCTTGAACCCCACCTGGTGCCTGTGCCCACAGTGTAACTGAGCTGGTTTGTAGGTCACTGCAGTTTCTGACTCACTGCAGAGCACCTCCTCTCTCATCGTGCCTCTGTCCTGAGAGTGTTTGTGCTCTGAAGCAGTAAAATAAATATTTTTATATTTGATATCATGCTTTGCCACTGGGCATCAGGAAACCTCTGTGTTATTTGATACTGCTTTTAGGAAAACCTGTTTAAAATAATTTCTTGCAAACACTGATTTATAGGAGTCAAGCCTAATTATTTGGAGTTCAGCAAGCTCAGTTGTCCCACCATTATCCCACACATTCTGGTGGTCTGGAGAGAGCTGCAATGGGCCTGTGGTTTGTGTAGCTTTAATAGGGCAAGTCAGGTTTTGATGAGACAATAAGAGGTGTTTTGTTGTTGGGGACAAGACCACAAAATAAGGATTTACTTAAAGAATTATTTGTTACGGTAGCTTTCAATTTTGAGAGACAAACTTAAATTATTTTTATTTCCTAAAAGTTACATCCTTAATTACTTCACTTGTGTGTTTTTCTTTGTATATCATGCCCCTGATGCTGGGCTACGAGGTGTAGCTCCTCATAATACAGGGGGTTTTTAGCTTACATGAAGTAGTTCACACATATTTGCAGGAACTGCAGCTGAAATGGGTAGGAGAATTCTCATTCTGTGTTTCTACAAACATGTATGTTATTCTTACGTTTGTTAAGTTTTTAGCAAACTACAATTTTTTAAGAGAAAGAGAAGGTTCAGGTTCCCCATGCAGTTGAAATGTTCCTATGTCTTTTCCCTTGTTCTCTCTCCCTGAAAAGAGAGGCTCCTACTTTAGGAAGTGGTCTTGGAATAAAGCAGGAAAAAACATGCCATGAAAATAATTCCATGTGTGCCTCAGCTATTGAACATTGAGTACTCAGTATTCCTTTACAGTTGGATATCAGTATTGGAAAATTTTGTTGTTGTTATTTTCTACAAGATCCAATTGTTCTTTTGCAGCAATAATGATTGAAATCTGAAATGTGTAAAATCTAAGATCAGTGTTTATGTTACCAGAAGTACTGGAAGTGCTCCATCAGAGGGTGCTGAATATTCTTAGTGAGAGATCTGGCTACCCTCTGTAGCTGCATAAATAACCATGTGTAAGATTGGGTTTTTCTTCTGAAAAATGTACTTTTAAGTTTGAAAAGCCCACTTTCATTGAATAGGTCATGTGCTTATTTCTTCACTGAAGGTGAGAGTTTATGTACAGGGGAAAATATTTGTAATTGTACAACTTGTGTGGGTGTGGGCTTTTTTTTCTTTCCTTGGCCAGCATTTAGTGTCAAACCTGGTGATCAAATATGATTTATTCTGGTTATTCTCTCTGCTTAGTCTTCTTCCTTTTTGTTTTCCTCCATATGACTTGAAAAACTAAAGCCCATTATTATTGTAACTGTGAATGATTTGTTTTACATAATTGTATGTAATTTTCTTTTACTTTTATGCTAATCATTTAATAATCCAAGTGAAACTTAAGTACCTGTCCATTGCCAGTTTATACAGTTTCCACAGCTTTTGTGGTCATAGGGAGGAATGGCTTTGAGGGTGCTCTTTCAGTCTGAAACTGGATATTTTGCAAACTGATTATGTAGCAGAAGTCCTTGAGGGTAACAGGTGGTGTCCTCTGCTTTTTCTCCTCCCCCCAGGTACCTTCATTCAAATAACATAGTTGTTGTACCTGAAGGTAAGTAATTTACCAGCTCACGATAAGTGGCAGGAATCATAAAATATTCATTTTTCTTCTTTGAAGAGGCCTATTTTTCCTTTATTTTCCCATAAAACATTAAAGATTTTCATACGAAATATACCAGTGTAGCTTTTAGTTGATAATGTCCTTATTTATGCTATGTTAAATTCTTTTAATGAATTCTCAAATGCACCTAAATGCTGTTTGCTCTAGTTCTAATTGCAGAAAGTGAAAAGGCTAAATGACACTCATCTGCAGAAACTAAAAATCCAGAGTGTCTGCTGCTTTCAGGCAGTTACCACACTAAATACTCTGCTAGTTTAGATCATGACAGATTTGAAACCCAAAGGAGCAAGAACTTGTACTAGTTTCTTTTCCTTAATTTCAGTTTTGCTCCCAACTTGAGGAATTCGTGTTCAATTTATGCTCTTTCTGAATATAAATTGGATAGAGTCAAAGGAAGAGAAGGGAGAAAGTGGTTTCAGAGCACAATTGTCTGAGGAGAATGTGGAGATGGGAGTATTCTGTACATCACTGTATTTGCTACCCTGTCTCACTACCAGCAGAGCTATTTGTTAGCTAGAGCAGCATTTCCACAGTTGATGTCACTGACTTGTGAGACTGGCTTTAACACCTCGAGATGTGCTCAGACACAGCTGTTGGGTACTGTGCCTTGTCCTCTCACAGTCCTGTGAAGCTTTTAATGTTCCTCTTGGGTCACATCCGTGTTTTAATGTGTTCTCTCACAAGCCATTGGCTCCCTGGTTAAGCTGCAGTCTCTGGACCTGAGTGACAATGCCCTGGAGATTGTGTGTCCCGAGATCGGCCGCCTGAGGTCCTTGCGGCACCTCCGCCTGGCAAACAACCAGCTGAAATATTTACCTGCAGGTGAGTGCAGCGGCTGGGGGGACAGCACTGACACAGCCGTGCCAGCCTCACTTGCCAGGTGATCTGCTCTTGGTTTCCTGAGTGCTACGCCCTGCACTTGCAGGGATTGCTGTTTGTATTGCTCTCAGCGTGCTCTGTAGTTAGAGAAAAGCTGTGCTCTGTGTGCTTGCACAGTCCTGAAAAATGCTGCTGAAGTGGGAAAAATCTATTTATTTAACAGTCTTTGCCATCGTATCAAGAAAATATTGAACTTCTTTGAGAAGACACAAAATGCCAATGACAACTGTCATTATGATAAAATGATGTTTCTTCCAATTTTCCACAATAGAAGGGATTCCAGTCCTTCCTTCCTTCCTTTCTTTTCACCCAATAGCCCCAGTCTCGTATTTTCTAAAAAGACACATGTCTAGTAGCTTTGCCTATGGCAGTTCTAGCTCATTGTGACAGTAGATAACAAATGTTTGCTTTGCTAGTTTATAATAAAAAAGCAAAATTTATTCAAAGTAAATGTGACACAAAGTCAGAAAAAGTTGGCCATAGGCAGATTTGAATGTTTTTTTTTCTTCTAAATACTTTGATAAGCAGATATAACATTATTATTCTTCTATCACCCTTATATTTCTTCAGATAAGATGATGGTGATTTTCAAATAGTCTTTTAATTTTAGTTTTTAATTTTTCTCTGGTGTATTTGCATTTTCTGATCTGCAGAGATGATAAAAATTTAAGGCTATGATTTGAAAAAACTGGTCTAACTTAATCTAACAGGATTAGCTCTTGGCTCTATTTTAACTAATTTTTCAATATGACCTTCATATGTTTTAAGTTCCCATTGTTTATTCTCAAGAAATGTAGTGCAAATGCTCCTTGAAGTTTTGGGTGCAGAAAACTCACTGTCCTTTCCCTGCACTTTTCTAGACTGCTTAAAAAAAGTCAAAGGGTGGTTATGATTAGAAAGAAAAAAAAAAATGTATATGACTATGTAAATGCTCTGGAATGAAATTAGATAAACCTGTTAAACATTATGACCCAGGGCCAATAAAATTTCCATCAATTTTCAGATGTCCTACATTCAAAAGAAAGGAGTGACTTGAGTGTGCTTTATGTTCCTCAAAGATAATTTACCTTATGGTGCTGTACCATGAAAGAAAGACTTGTTCAAAGAGAAAGTGACACATTTTCTGCAAAACTTCACACATTAACTTAAAAAGGTTCCAAAAAAGACTTTCAAAAGGATAATTTACATTACTGAAGAGTTGATTTGGAGTCTACCACATTTGATTAGGAACTGGTATCAGCTGAGACTTGCTGCATTAAATTTCTCCTGAAGTTTATAGAAAATTTGGTCCTGAGCATTGTCCCTGAATGCGTTTGTGTGCATGGAAAGTTTGCATGCTTAGGAATGCTGCTGGTGTTGGCTGCTTGTGCATTGGAGAATGCAGTGATGTGTGGTCTTTGTGGTGGTGTCCCTTGTGCCGTTGCTGCTGCTGGTACTAATCCTGTCACTGGGACTGGATGTCACACAAGTGTTACCAGCCCAAGCAGGATTAGCCTTTCACTCACACTGCATTTGCCCACTGGACAGTTAATCTATTGCACTGACTGTTTCCTAAACAGAACAGTTCCCAAAGAGGGTTTCCAAGCATGTTTTCTTCGATGTTCTCTGTAGAATTGTGAAAACTTCAAAGACTTCATTAAAAAAAAAAATCTTAAGAGTTTCAAAATAACACTGATGTTCAACAATTGAAAAAGGAGAGCAAAATAATAAATTTTGATGAATTGTTTCATCCTTAATTATGCTGGTAGTATGAATCTTCATTATAGTGTCAGCTAGCATTCTGTTGGGAACACTGGCAAAGTTCAGCTGAACTAGGATGAGATGAGATTTTACTGCACTGCATCATTTTGCTGTGTGTTCACTGCTCTCTGCACTGCTAGGGAAAGACAGCTCTAAATGGCTCTTAATTTATAATAAGGAACCATTTAAGATATAACTTAGCTTCTCCCCATGCAGCTTGTGCAGAATTTAAGGATCTGAATTTAAAAAGAGCTTTTGGGTTTAAATGACAGTCATTTATGGAAATGACTTCAGAGTGGTTGCTCTGCCATTCCTCTTGGGTTTCCATTCCCAATGTCTGGTATTAAAAGTACCCTCATTTTTTTCAAAATTCCATGGATATCTAGAGAGATACTCTGGGTAATATCCTAAATCAATTGCTAAAAAATATCTTCCTTGCAGCTGCAGAACAGTTGGATGGTAAATGTTTGCTATTATGTGTCTGAACACCCCCACTGTTCTATTGCATTTTAATTCTTAAGAATGATTCTTTGTTGTGTCTTCCTTAATTGTGATTAAGAGCTGGAAGAAACAATGCAATTAATAGCATATGTTGATTCATTATGCATTTTTAATGGTTTTGTTCCACAATTGTGCTCTTAATGTTCCTTTTTAGTATTTAAGATTTGCCTTATAGAAATCAAATTTTAAACTAATTGAAGTAGTGTGCATTTAAGATTTAGATTTAAGCCTCTAGTCTGATTGTAGACATTCTCCAGGCTCTGCTAGAGGTTGAGCCTGTGCTGTGGTTTATCTTCACTGGGATGGGCCAGGTTTTAATCTCCTAAGTACTTATTTTAATAAAACATGGGAGAATTTAACGACAGCCACTCTGCTTTTCTCAGGTTTGGTCATGATTGTTCAGTGAGTTTTAAAAAAAAATTTTAAGGGAGGAGATGGGGGAGAATGATAAAAATACATGCAGCCAGTGTGGAGACATAAGCTTTAGCTTCCTGAAGAAATCAGGCAGTACAGGACTAATGAGGAGGCAAATGGGCATTAGGTGAAGAGTGGAAATAGTGTCCCTTGGAGATGGGGAAGCACTTTCTGTGCTGTGGCACCCTGGGAGTGTGAGTGACAGTCCTTCCTTTTTGCTGAGCAAACACTCCCACATCGGTGCCACCCTTGGATCAGATCCTGAGCTTCGGCCTCAAGGCTCTGTGTTTGATTTGCCCCTGCTGAGGGGGCTTCCATCAACATCTTCAGCTGTTGGGAGAACTGCTCAGAGGTGACTCAGCTGAGCTTGATGAGAAGTAAAAGAAAAAATTTGTCCAGAACAAGCATGTTGAAATTGAAATATAATAGCAAATGGCTGGAAGAAAAAGCTTTGTGAAATTCTCTTAATATCATATTTTGGATATACTTTAGATAAGATTAATAAGCAGACCAGCTTCTGCCTAATGCAGAGTCATCAGTATCTACATTCTGGGGTAATCAGAATCCCTGAGAGGTTCTGCCTTTCAGAGATGAGTTGATTAAAGAGTTGCAGATAAGTAAAAAACGAGATGTAATGTTCTAAAGTTCTCTTGAGGACTTGTTTTCATTTAAATGCACAACATTTTTTTGTTCTTCAAATTGTAAATCTTGTAGCTGCTGTCTTTAACAGTTTCTTGGTTCATTTATTTGGCTCTGGTAAATGCAGTTCTTGAACATGAAGTAACTTTTGTGAAGTTTTCTACTATTTAAATGTGACACTTAAATAATCTAAGTTCTTGAGGGCCATTTGGAAATGTGTGACACCAAAGATGTTACTGGAAAAAGTCGGCATAAACAAAAGATGGTTATTTCACATTATTACATTAGTTCATATATGAGCTTGACTTAGACGTGACATTGTGTTTTCACAGTAGCTGAACTTTATTTTTACAGAGATTTCTCCTTTTATTCAGTGAATTGATATTTCATTTTAATTTAGAATTGTAGAGTTAGTTCTATATGCATGTACTATCAGAAGGGAATTTTCTGAATCTTCTCACTCACAAATGTCTACCTAGAAAAGTTCCCCTTTGTTTCTGATGATTATAATGCATATGATAGCTCCTTTCATTCTTGAGAAATACTATTTCTCTTTGTGTAAGAGTTACTATGTCATTTGAAAAAAAAATAAATCAAATGAGATGTATTATAAAATCATTCTTGAGGCGTCTCAAAGTCAAGGTTCTCTGTTTTGCTGTTGCCATTTAGATTTGGTTTGACTTTAGCCTTGGAATCTTTTGATGTGCAGTGGTGGTTCTTCAGGTTTACATTTTGGTCTTATAGCTGGAATGCATGTTTGGGGCACAGATGACTTAAAAGAAGGTGGGCTGTACTCAAATTTGGATTTAAGTTTCTTATTTGACAAGGATTAGATTTTTTTTTTTGCCCATTACTTGAGAGGTACTTCTCTTTAGAAACAGCAAGTTTTGTAGCATCTTGTTCTAAGATTTAATTAAAAGTGAGGTTATGTTTACTCAGCACATGCTGGAGTTAATTATAGATTTACTGAAATGAAAAGCTTAATGTTTTGCCAAGTCAAGAGCAAAAGCTAAGTAATTAAAGAAGAGGGTATGGTTTATGATCCCAGCCCATCTTTTGGCAAAATTCCCTTTAAGAAGAGGGGAAAAAAAATCAGCAGTTGTCTTTACATGGGCTAGACCATGGTTCCCTTTGTGTTTGTTGTTCAGGAACTTTTGAAACCAGGAGCTGAGTGCATTGACCAAGCAAAAAGATAAAGTGTGGCCAAATAATGGCAAATGTGTTGTCAAAAGTGGGATTGCTGTTTGTTTGAATGTTAAAGGGAAGTGCAGGTGATGGAGCAGCCGTTGCTGGAGGGGTGCAGATTTGTGCCAGAGTCCAGGGCAGGTTCCTGCCCCAGCACAGGGAAAATGTGACTTCCATTGCAAATCCACACTTCTGCCTTGTCTGTGGAAGCTCCTGCAGCTTGCATCCACTTGTTGCCATTTTGCTTCCTTTAGGCAGACTGAAGGGAAATGAATTCGTGTGCCTTTGGTGTATTTAAAGTGCAAACTGCAGCAATGTTAAGGGAGGTTAACAGCACAGAGACCCTTCCTTTCAGTTCTGTTCAAATCCTTTTCCTTTTTAAGGCAAATTGTTTTAGAAATATAATCAGTTTAAGACTCATTAAAATACATTTGTAGGCTTATAAAACTTTATCTTCAAAGCAT